CTGGCAATATTGGTGGCAGGCTTTGAAGCAGTTGGATTTTGGGACTGGCGAGCCTGTTAAGTGGTGTTTTGCAACAGGCAAGATGGTGACGCAGTCAGCCTTATTTTACAGCAAGCACAGCCCTGCAAAAGCTTCTGCAGTGCAGAAAAAAAGATGCTTAGTGCTCTGCCTGCCTTTTGCTAGAGATTCAGCCTTACGTGACCTCACCCAAGTGGCTGGAACTGCGCCGAGGAGAGCCTGCTGCTTATTTGCTCTAACTTTGTGCTACGATGGCAGGTGGAAAGCTGGCAGGCAGCTAAAAACCAACAAAAAACCCCGCAAAAACCCAACCCGAGTTTTTTGGGGTTTGTGATGGGAGGAGAGCAGCAAAGGGAGGAAAGGAGCAGGTTGCGAGATAAAGTTGAGTAGCGGGAGGGAACGTGTGTTTGGGAGCTGAGCTGGAGGCTCTTGACTGGCAGCCAGGTCTTAACATCAGCTGCATAAAAGGAAATCGAAGAGGCTGCCCAAATATTACCAGGATGAAAGGCAGGATAAATAGCACAGACCTGAACACCTGGCTGGTTTGCACTTCTGGAAGGGTGGGAGGTCTTCCCTTTTAACCTGGCACAGGGATTGCATAGCCCCACATCACACCCTGCTCTGCACCAGTGTGTGCTTGTGTGGGGTTTGACAGCAGCATTTCGGGGTAAAATTACCCTCCTCTGTGGGCACAGCGTGTGGAGTATCTCATGCTTCCACACATGCAAAGCCTGGGATCTGAGATCTGTGCCAGGCTTGCCCTTCTCCAAAAGAAAAAAAAGGTGGTAAGGCATAAATCCTTTTTCAATTTTATGTCTTTGTGCCAGCAGGTACCTGAATTAACACACGTATGTTGCAGAGCTCCATGTGATGGGGTGGAAATGGGAGAGGATGAGGCTTCTTGTACTAGGGAGCCTGTGAAATGAATAGGTAGTGGGAACAGGGGCAGGTTGCACGGTCCTTGGAGCGAGGGAGTCCTGCTGGGAAAGTTCCAGGAAAGTCTTAGGGACCCCTTTTCTTAATACTCTTAAGCCCCCTTTCCCTCTTTAGACTCCTAGAATTTTGCTAAATACCTAATTGGTCTTTCAGCAGTGCTAGGATGTGTGGAATTAGGAAAGGGGCTTGGAATTTCCACGCCACCTTTAGTGGCTGCTGAAGAGAGTGAGGTACTGAAGACCGATAACAAAAATTCTCCTTACAGAAAACCCCCCGAAACCAAATAAACAAAAGCTCTGAAATTTTCATCCCCGCTGTCAGTATCTGGTTTTGGGGCAGCAGCCTTTTGCTGTGCTGCGGCAGCAAATTGCAGTCTTGGAATCCTGGAGATTAGAAACAAGCCTGAGTAGCGTTCGGCTGGTGAATGTGTTTTAAAATGGTCCGATTAACCCGAGGCCGCTCCGCTGAATGCTTTTTTAGATTTTATATTTTCAGGGAGATGTGTGATATCTTTGGCCTTTCCACAGGCAGCCAGCCCACATGAATCGCATGCTTCCTGTTGATGGGGCTGAGTGCAGTCTTGAGCTTCTGTTAACTCACCAGCAGTAGTGTACTGGAAATTTCTGATTCAGAAATAGGTCTTCTATAAATGATTTAACATCAGGCCATTGAAATGCATTTGTGCTTTCCTTCTTAGGGCTATTAAAGATGTAGAGAAAACATTTAGCACCAAATTAATGGTTGCATTTTTGTTTTAATCCTGCAGATGGGGTTGATTTATATCTCCAAAATATGCGCTGCAGAGAGGAATTATATTGCACAATTTTTCAATTGTACTTATTTATTTTTTTTCATTCCAATATTTTCAGCTAGATGCTCTTTCGTGTGGCGAGTTTTCTTTTTCATTAGCAGTAAGGCGCTGTATTTCATCCTCTGGTTTGTATTCCTTTGTCGGTTGCAATACTTGTCTGAGGTCTGTAGTGACTGGGAAGCTGGAGCCAGGCAGAAGGTGTGGGGGTTTTACCCCCATCCCCTTCTCGTGGAGGGGTGTAAAAGCAGAAGGGCAGCAGGCTGCCTGCAGTCTCTGGGGGGACGCAGACCCAGCTGAAGAGAAAGAAATGGTGCACTCCTCCATGCAGATAGGAGAGAAGAAGATGGGATTAAATGGCAGAGCAGAGATTTTTACACAATAGCGGCTGCTCTGATAAAATCTGGTTGGCTTTCCCGTGAGGATTACACAGAAATAAGCAGCCTTAGCTCATTAGCACCTCCCTTTCCTCTTGCTCTCTGGTGATTGCTTCAGGTTCGATGGCAGGTGGTGATGGCAGGACTTGCTCTGATCCGGGGTGCGGCGCTGGAAATGCGGCACATCCCGAAGCCTGAAACGTTAGGTCGTGTGCCTTTTGTTGCAGCTGAGATTAGGCTCCAGCTCAGTTTGTGTATTGATGCTTGGACCTTCCTCCTCACAGTGTTTAGTGCTCCCAGCGCATGAAAGCAACCGCTGGAATCACTGGATTTAGTTTTTGAACAAATGAGCTTTCTTTTGCTCACTTTCTCACAACTCCTGGAGCAGTGATGGAAATGAGCTTGATTTTGTAACTCTGGAGAGTGTGATGGTGGGGTCTTTGGAAATAGATCTGGCAAGTATTAAAAAAGAGAAGTGATATTTTTCAATATGCCTTCAAGTTAGGTCACTAATAGCATAACTGTAACATCACAGTCCCTGCAGGTGTCAGTGCTCTGGAAGAAATACACATTAGATGCTCCCTAAGTGTTGGACGGAGTTACACTATGTGCCTTGTGGCCATCCATATGCATCCCCACTTGCTAAAACTGGTCTGAGCCATTTCCAACCCTCAAATGCTTTTCACCATCTCCTGCTGGAGGTTGACACTTCTCCATATCTGCTGGGTGATGTGTGTGTGATTGAGTGATCTTCTGAGCTTCAGCCAGAAAAAGCAAAGGTTTAAAGTCATTAAGGTCTTTCCTGGGCTATATTGGGATCTGCTTACCTGCCCCTGGGCTGATTCAGCAGGGACCTCTGCCTGGGTCGGAGGGGAGTGGAGGGATACCCTCACTTTTCATCAGTTGCCACCGTGATAAAAATAAGACTTTGCATTTACATAGCGTCATCTTAAATGAATCCACTCAGAAGTATGTATGTACAGCATATTTAGCACTTAAATTAACCACAGTAGTTGAAGAACGGTGCTCTTCTGCTTTTTAATTTCGTGTATCTAAACCTACTCTATTTACTGGAACGTAGAGAAGGTAGCTGGAGATTTGCACTATCTTGCATACTTTTCCCATGTTTCCTCAAGGCTCTACACTTCGTAATTGTTGGTTGCCTCCCCTCAAAGTTAGGCATGAATCCTGCACAGATCTGCCTAGCTTTTGTGGCCGGCACATCTCCAGCTCACCCTGTGGCACCACCAAGAAGGGCGACGTGACAAGTGCGTGTTAATCGTGGTAGGGTCATGGCCTGTTTAAGGCCAGGGACATTAGAAGGGTTTAGAAATGGAAATACTGCTTAGTGTGACCAAAACATCCTCAGGTTAGGTTCCTCACTCGGAAGACCGGTGGTACATGGGAACTCCTTGCATCGTGGCGGGCATGAAATTCTTGCTGAAATTGCAGAAGTTCCCGGTTTCATGTCCGAGGTGAGGGAAGAGAGGAAATGCTTTCCTGCTGGTGGTATTTATAACTCATTTTGTACTGTAGCATCAGGTTATGTTTTCATGCTACTTGTTGCTGCTGTTTTAATTTAAAACTCAAGAACAGCGTTTGCCTTAAAAAAAAAAATTCATTGTTACATTGACTTTGAGAGTGTTCCCTGTCAGATTGGCAGTAATGACATCTGGGTTGAGAAGGCTCTCAACGTCATCTCAGGCTGTATTTCCAATGAAAACAGTTGGCCTTTGGCATTAGAAGATATGCAGATTGGAATACAGCTAATACCTTGGACTGGAGCACTTTTAAATTATGCTCTATGCGTTTGCTTTGTGCTGCTTCTGCAGCTGTGACGAGATGCAGGCAGCAATGCTGAGCAGAGGATGGAAGAGGCTTTGGGAATGAAGCCCTTGCAGATGAGCAGGTCAAAGGTAGAAGGGAAAAAAACGAAAACCAAACCATAACTGGTTCTCTGGAGTTCTTTGCTGTACTTACGTGAGTTAATCTGATTTCTTAATGTGACGCTACAGCTGTCAAAAGCAGAGAGGGAACAATGTTGAGTCTCTGTAGTAGGCACTGTTGTGGTGCTGCTGACCACAGTGTGCTGGATCAGGAAAAAGCATTTCTTCCAAGTGATGCACTTCAGAGCGTGGCCAAAATAAAATGAAAAAACCGTTGCTACAATTCCCACAAACAGCTGCGAGAAGTTATCTGGAGCTCTGCTTAAAAACCTGTGTAGCGTGCAAACAGCTCAAGATTTGCAGATCTCTCTAACCTTTATTGGAAGTAATCTTCTCTTTGCATGAGCAGGAACTCCTCTTAGGAGCACACCTGGGGAGAGCAAAGGCCCATTTTGTTTCATGTATCACTCTGCTGATTTTCTGGCAGGCTATTTGGTGGGGGAGAATAGCTTGGAGAGTTGTGGTTGTCCTCATTGCGTTGGGCAGTGATTTGAGGATGTAATAGAAAAGAGCCTGGAGGAGTGGGGACAGACGGACTGTAAATAGCTTTTTTTTTTTTTCTCCCCTCTATGTGGATGCATTGGAAGAGGCCAACTCGTGGCCCCATCTGCCTTTGTTTTGTTCCCTAATAAAATGCTAGTGGACAAACCCAGCAGTATGTTTTTCGCACTTCTGAAATGTCTGAAACAAAAGGTTTTAACTAGCATCCTTTTATATTTCTAAAGTGTCTTTTATCTGACTTTATCAGGAATATAGTAAGATTTCAGTATGGAAAATTTTGCCATTTAAAACATTTTTTCCCTTAAAAGTCATCCTGAACCTCTGAAGCTCAAGGTGCTCTTTAGATGGGAAAGGTAAGATCTTGTGGGAGCTGGAGCTTTGTAAAAAAAAGTAATACTTTTCCTTTCTATACAGTGGGAAGAAATTGGTGAGGTGGATGAAAACTACGCCCCGATACACACGTACCAAGTATGCAAGGTAATGGAACAGAATCAGAACAACTGGCTTCTGACCAGCTGGATCTCTAATGAAGGGGCATCCCGCATCTTCATTGAGCTCAAATTCACCCTGAGGGACTGTAACAGCCTTCCAGGAGGACTTGGGACTTGCAAAGAGACCTTTAACATGTATTACTTCGAATCAGATGATGAAGATGGGAGGAACATCAAAGAAAACCAGTACATCAAGATCGATACCATTGCTGCTGATGAGAGCTTCACAGAGTTAGACCTCGGTGACAGAGTTATGAAGCTAAACACAGAGGTGAGAGATGTCGGGCCCCTAACAAAAAAGGGATTCTACCTCGCTTTTCAGGACGTGGGTGCCTGCATCGCCCTGGTCTCCGTGCGTGTGTACTACAAAAAATGCCCATCGGTGATCCGCAACCTGGCTCGCTTTCCTGACACCATCACGGGAGCGGATTCCTCGCAGCTGCTAGAGGTGTCGGGCGTCTGCGTCAACCACTCAGTGACGGAGGAGGCGCCGAAGATGCACTGCAGTGCTGAGGGGGAATGGCTGGTGCCCATCGGGAAGTGCTTGTGCAAGGCAGGGTATGAGGAGAAGAACAACACCTGCCAAGGTAAGGGTCTGCAGGGAGGGTGCTGTGTTGGGGCTGCCGAGGTGATGCGCGGGGTCTTGGCTTGCTTCTCTTCTGTGTCCTTCATGCCTGGTTGAGTTGATGATGGTGGGTTGGGTTCTCACTTCCACTGAGGTCCTTTGGATGACCATAACAAGCATGAAGAGAGAGCCCTTGGCTGGATGTAGTGGGACTGGACACCTATGGACAGGTCCTTCCGGTGCTTACAGGGCGGTGAACGAGTAGAATCTGGCACACCACCGTTGTCCTTGGAGCACTGTACTGTTGAGTCCTTGAGGCCATTGCAATCTTACCCGTTATTTAAAGCTTTATGTTATTTTTCCTCGATATCAGAGTTTCCTTAGGAATTGTAGAAGCTTGTTTTCTTTTTTCTGGACTGTGCCAGGGAATGTTTGAAGTTAATCTCCCTAAGCAAGATGCGTGTTTGTTTTTTTATTTAAAGGAGTATGTTTTTCTCTCTTTATCACTCTGTGGGGGGGGGAAGGTGGGAATTTGATGTGGTGTGAGTTGATTGATTTTCCTCTCTTGTAGATAGTTTAATACAAAGCTGCTCAGCTGTTCAGGGTTAAACCTAAAGCCCTACTGATAAAAATGCATCCATATGTGCCAAAGTTTTCACACAAGTAGCTCGCTGAGGTTCCTGAGTTGCTGGTCAGCATAGGTCTCCGGAGTCATCAGGGGCCTTTTGCAAGAGATCTAGGGTGTCTGAAGCTCAGGACCTAAAAAAGAATGCTTTTAAAGTGCAACATACTCTAAGAGCATGTAATCTCATTTTATGGTTGGCTGTATTACATGCTTGTTTATAAAACTGCCCTTCCTCTGTAAATATGTAACAGGTAGCTTAAAACCTGTTTCGACACGGAAGATTTCAATGTGATTTCCTTTTTCCAAATTTTCGTGTTGGTCATCAGTTCCATCTTAATTGCCTTGTACTTGCAGCCGCTTGGTAGTAGCAAACCTATGAGGAAGGCAGAGGGATTCTGCTCCAACTGGAGTCAGTCTTGCATTTTCTCTTCACTCCAGACACTCGTTACTGGTGTTTATAGCATTGGTGCAAAGGGTAGATTAGTGCATGCATACCCAACGAAAGCTGTGGCCTTCATCCTTTGGTCCTTGGTCACGCGCTGTGCCCCTGAAAATTGCACAGTTCAAGTTTCTTCAAGGATTGACTTGGAGAGGAAGTGTATATATGTTTGGTTTTTGGGAAAATCCTCTAGTACACAGCATGTGGAGTGTGCTTTTTGACCAGGATAGTCTCCTTTTTTTTTTTATTTTATTTTTTTCTACAGATGTAGACAATACAGAAAAATCTGACTTGGTTTTGCTTTTCCTGTGACAATAAAGATACTTCTCCCATTCAGAAGGGAAGAAAAGTCAGACTTGATGTTTGATACTTCACAAAGGGAGCTAAGATCAACATTAGCCCAAGCTGAGGGAATCCACACTGTCACAGATGAGGGATGTGGGTCAGATAGATCAGCAAAGATCTGCTTAATTATGGCTAAAAATACCATCTCTGAAAATAACATTCACTGGTGGGTGCTATGTCTAGATGCTGACTTCAGCCACCTGTAAGAATTTTTGGAGGAAAGGGGTACATCCATTAGTCACCTTTCAAATCCTGCATGGGAACACTGCTCAAAACACTCTTAAAGATCTCAAAAACAAACAAAAACCAAAACACCAAAAAACCTGGGCTGTTTTAAACTAGAAACCTGAGACTATCTTTGAAGACCCTACTGTGCCTGTAGAGCAGCTGGATCTCTGGTAGTGCTGAGATAGCAATCTGGGGTGTGCTTTCAGAAGATCTTAGTGATTTGAGGTTCTGCTTTCCATTTTGGGGTGTGGGATTTTTTTTTTTTTTAAATTTATTTCCCTTAGTCAATTAAGAGGACAGCATCTGGCCCCGCAATTTATGACTGTGTTAGGTAGGGCTGTGATCATAGTTTGGAAATGTAAAGATATTTTGTGACGACGAGGTTCTGCTTTCCATTTTGGGGTGTGGGATGTTTGGTTTTTTTTTTTTTAATTTATTTCCTTTAGTCAGTTAAGAGGACAGCATCTGGCCCCGCAATTTACGACTGCGTTAGGTAGGGCTGTGATCATAGTTTGGAAACGTAAAGATGTTTTGTGATGTTGTACCCTTGGCCTTCTGCCATAAGACCCACAGAAACTACTCTTGATACTTCACCTACAGCCTGCACCCTCGACAGGAGTTTATCACTTTAATTGCTCTAGAGCTGTTAGAGCCCATAATCCTCATTTGTAGGAAAGCCCTAAATTCCATCACCAAATCAATGGGATGTTGAGATCTGAATGCCTACGGCAAAGCCTGTTTGAGGGCCCCGTTTGGATGTCCTGTGGTTAACCCAGGTCATCGTGCCAAGCGTTTCCTGCTGGTTGGCTCCGAGATGCTCAGTCGATAGGTGACATTCAGCCTTAGGCCATTCAGGAGGTCTGTGTTCAGCGTGCATGGAGTTCATGCTGGTATCCTGTGTGAGTGGAATGCTTTCTGCTTTGGATATTTTTATATTCACAAGGATTGAGGGTTTTTTTCACAAGGATTGAGGGTTTTTATCTAGGACGGAAGTTAAACGTTGCAGCCCATGAGCAGAATAAGTAACACCAAGAAAGATCCTGTGTGCTTGTAGATGCTTCTCCCGCTCCCCCCCACCCCATCCCTCGCCTGAGCTGTGTTTGGGAAATGCACTCCGTGCTCCGGGCTGACATAATGATGGTCTTGGCACTCTGCGGTGTGGCTTTGACAAGCACCTAAATAACTTCTGACCTTTGGTTTGTAAATCACTTCGGTGCATCTTGCAAGCGGTCTCCCTGCTTGCTTTCACTTAAGCATAAGCAGGTTATTAGGGACCAACGCTTTGGGAAACGTTTTCAACCCAGCAGAAGAGCCTGGATTTGTTTACTAAAATTTCTCCTGCAAAGATGACATTTTCCAAGCTCTAGTGTCACGTCTGGACAAAGCAGACTACACTCTCTTATTAGAGGTGATGTAAATCCCAGTCAGCCTCACAAACATATGGGAACTATTGAAATCCCTTCTGCCTACAAATCATTAATTGGCAACGATGTTCTGAATTCATCATCTTGTCAGCAGGGTTCCTGTTTGAAGAAGGCACTGACAGTAACAGCTGAGCAATTTCTCTCACTGGGGACACTGAGGTTGTAAATATGACATGGTCTAATCTCCTTATATAATGTGCTCCCTCTCTCTATTAATATAGGCAGCTAGATAGTAGTTACTGTAAAGAACCCAAACTACTTGGATTTTTACACCTCCTTTGGCAACATGGCCCATTTATCAGCAACTGCTATGGGACAGCTAGAGGTAAATTGTGACTGTTTTGGGACGTATTTATAAAGGACCAGTGTTAAGGTTCATTATTCACAAGAATAAATTGCTGTACTAGTTAATAAGAGAAATGAAAGCAGTTGCTCTGAGAATTTCCATGCTGGTTTCCAGAGCGGTGATTTGGTGCCACTAAAGGACTGATGGTTATTGGCTTTGCCTCAGTTCAGCCAGAGCTGTCTGAACCAGTCCTTGAGGAAATGTTCCTGAGCGTTTTCACGAGCTGGAAAATGCCCAGTTTCAAGTCGGTTTGGCCAATTTCAAGTCTTCTAAAGGTGGTCTCCTCTTTAGCAGGCAGCACTCAACCAACGTTGAGGGCCAGATCCTAAAATGCTGTAAAACTTGCTGTAGCGCCGCTGAAGTCTCTGTCATTTAGGAGTTTGGCCAAACAATTTCTCTGCCCCAGTCTACGCTTTCCTTCTTCCTGCGCTGGCAAAGGTGAAGTTTTGTTGTAACTTCAATTTTAGTTGCTTACTGTATACAGCAGGGCTCACCGTTGGGGTTTGCGTAGGAAATGAATAAAATCCCTGTGAAAAGGGCACCTTCTGGCACCTCTCTTTGTATTCATCCTCACCTTCAGCCCAGTATGTTTGCAGTGAGAAGCAAGAAGTGCTTATTTTTCTGCCTTTAAAGGCTCCGGAGCCCATGCAACTGGAAGGGATGGGATGTTGACGTGTTAAGCTAACGTGACCCAAATAAAATACACTTGCAGTGGTGAGGTCCTGCTAGTGACCAGGGGGCTACAGAGTGGTAACTGCAGATGTAATTGATTTGCAGAGCCTGATATTTTTTCAGCTGCTTTTAGAGCTGAATCACAAATCAATTAAATATTTGAGGTTAAAAAAAAAGAAAGAAAGAAAAGAAAAACTGCACTGAACGAGAGTCAGGCTGAAAAGGCGAGTAATGAGTTCAGGAGGTCGTGAGGCTCTCCTTTCCAAGAATCGGTACATGCTGCTACTTGAAGAGACATCAAAAGGAGTACAACTGGTTTTAACCAGCTACAAGGTACGGACAAGATTATAGATGTTAGAGGTGCACAAAGTAGTGGAGGAAAACTAGGTGAAATCTTTCTTCACCCTTGCCTCCTTCCGGGGAAGAACTTTGAAACTGAGCGTTGGAGGGAGGATGCGTTGGGGTATGGTTTTCCTGGTTTTAGAAAAGAATTGCTGCCAGAGGAAATGCTTGGATTTTTTTATTTTTTTTTTTTGTAAAACAACTCTAGAATGTTCAAGCCCTTCTGCTGTCTTAAATATTGATGCTTGTTTGATTATTCTTCCCTTAATCAACTTTGCTGAACACACCTCAATGCATTTACAGAACAATGTTTATTTTTGCTGGTTGTTCATTACTTGTGCTGTGATTCAGCTGAGCTCTTGCCAAGAGAGAAGAGAATTTCTCATTGGCTAAACCACGACATGCAGGAAACAAAGGCTGCAGAAAAACCTCATGTTGACAGGTCTTTTATTCTGAATATAATTAAAACTAATTGACATAGGTAGCTAGCTGACGCAGATGGGAAGTTTACCTGTGGAATCAGTCCTCGGGTGATTTTTTTTTTTTTTGGCTGGCTGATTGAGGGTGAAGCAGAGTTGCTCATCTTCCTCGGAAAGCAGTG